CGGGCTGCAGCTCGGCGGCGGCGGGGGCCCCGAGCCTCCTGTTGCTGGACTACGACGGGTCGGTGCTGCCCTTCCTCGGGGGCCTGGGCGGGGGCTACCAGAAGACCCTCGTGCTGCTCACCTGGATCCCGGCGCTGTTCATCGGCTTCAGCCAGTTCTCGGACTCTTTCCTCTTGGACCAGCCGAACTTCTGGTGCCGCGGGGCCGGCAAAGGCGCGGAGCTGGCGGGGGTCACCGCCACCGGCCGGTGGGACGCCGGCGACGTGGCCAACTGGACCAGCCCCCCGACCACCCCCTTCTCCACTGCCTCCTGGGGGGCCGCGGGCAACCTTAGCAACGGCAGCGGCGCGGACGGGGGTGACACGCCACCCCTGCCGTCCCCTCCGGACAAGGGGGACAACGCCTCCAACTGCGACTGCCACGCGTGGGACTACGGCATCCGCACAGGCCTCGTCCAAAACGTGGTCAGCAAGGTAAGGGCTGCGCCCGCCCCGGCCCCGCGTCCTTCTCCTGAGCCTTTCACTCCTGGATCTCCTCCACCCTGCCCTCGGTCTCCCTCCGTGCAGACCGAGGTCCCTTAAAGCGATGCTACCCTGTGTGTACATGCATCTGGCATTGGCTTAATCCTCCGTCCCCCAAACGAGATGCATTTGCCTGGGTGTGAGGCGGGGGCTTTTCGCTGCCTTCCTCGGGGAAGCTGTCTCCCAATCCTAAGGGGGCTCCATGGCCTTTCCTAGTTTGCACCCAAACGCCTGCCCGAGTGCACGTTTGGAAAGAGTGCCCCTCCCCCACAAATGACTTGAGCTCCCTTCCCTTACCCTTCCAGCTGTCACCCTCATTCAGGCAGGGGTGGCCCTCAAGAAAGGTGAGGCCGCTGACCTGTCAGCCAGCCAGCTCTGGAAGACTCGCCTCATTCAGGGTCTGATGCCTGGAGCCAGGACCTCGGTTCTAGTCTTCTGCCAGGCTAGTGGTCTCCCACAAAGAAATATCTATCCATGGGACTAATGTCATATTCCCAGATGTTCTTCTTTCTGGCAGACCACAGTCATCCGGTGCTGGGTTTGCAAACAGGCTAAAGCCAACTAAAGAACCCAAGTTAAGAGCCACAGAAGCAAAGAGCTTTCGCAAATTCCCTTTCCCTTCTCATCGTGCTCATTCCTCTCCAAAGATTTGCTATTTTTGACTTTAGATTTTGCCACTCCAGTGTTCCCTCAAATGTCTTCTCGGGACTTCAGGAGTATCTCTAGAGTATAGGAAGGAAACTAAGAATTTGTTTTGTGTCCCCGGACCACCGCCACTCCCACATAGCAGCTGCTTTTGTCTGAAGCATCGAGACCCTGGGAGGCTTTAGCTGAGCAACCGCCTTGCTCAGAGCCCAGAAGGAGCCCCTCTGGCAGAGGTCCTGCATTGTGTGAAATGAGCAGCAGTGGTTTTTGAGAGGAGCTGTGTGGCGGGCAGAAAAATCAATCCCGGAGAGCTCTGTGTTTTCTGATTTTTCTTAACATACAAGAGACATTTATTAAGCAATTTGGGGTTTTTGTCCGTTCTGTGTTTTAAATAACTAATTTGTATTTCAAAGTAAGTGTAGACCTCCCCTCCCCTTCTGGGCAGTTCTGAGTTTTAAATGCTTTGTTTAAACATGAGACTGAAGTGTGACAGTGTGCATGTGCTTTTTCCCCCCAAATGAGTGTTAGTAAACAGTTGTAGCTCATGGATGTGTAAGATGAAACTCTTACATCATCATAATCCTTGTTCTAATCATGTACCAACCTGGCAAGAAATGATCTGTCCTGTGGGAACTGACAGGATTAGCTGTTAATGGGGAAGATCCTTCAGGCTTGGTTCACCTTGACACCCCCCGGCCCCAGCCCCAGCGCCTCTCCTTTCCAAATGTGTTCCTGTGACTCTCTTTCCCATCCATGCTGGGCAACATTTGTTTTTGTTGTTGTTGTTTTTTTGGCTATTTTTTGTTACCAGTATGGAAAAAATTCAGAACAATGACTACAGAGACTATTTTAACACCCTTTGTATGTCTGTGCAAGTAAGGTTTTGGTGACATTTTCAAATACTTTAAACCCCTTTTTAAAGTAGAGGAGGAATAATAGAGATCAAAGCAAACGTGTTTAGAGGGTGCTCTGTCCTGGGGTCAGAGGCGAGGGGAACTTGAAAGTTAGGAGGAGGGATAGAGCATCATTATCCTGGTGGTGGGGACCCAGGGACTGCCGGATGGCGGGGATGAGAGGACTAAAATAGTCCTTGAAAACAGGCTTTAAAGGCACAGTGGAGAGCTGGCCAATTTTTCTAAATTAGCACTCAGGAGGGTCAAAGATGGCAGTAATGTGTGCCCTATGCTTTGGGGCTGCTTCAGAGCTCTGTCATGCTTACCTGTAGCTGACAGGGCACGGCTGGGAGCTGAAGACCTCGGGACAATAGTTAGAGACACATTTTCTTGTAAGATAAAGACTAGAAAGGACATACTGATTTTCTCGCACAAATAAGATCTAAATAAAGGACTGTCCTTCTACAGTGTTCGATGCCATAACAAAAGCCTTAAAGAGCTCTTTAAGCACATTTGGCATATACTAAGGCCGCCTTTCAGCTTCAGCTGGATGTGCCCACAGATGCACAAATATGGACCGTATACCGTGATGGGTGCGCAATTCTAGAGGTCAGGTGCCTGTCAGCTTGGTTTGTAAGAGCAGAAGTGCAAGGTGTCACCTTCCGTCAGTGGATGAAAGTTCAGAGTCCGAGAAGTTGCCTTTTGTACCCTTTCCCCACTCCATACCATCATCTAGCCACTTGAAAATAATCTCCCACAATGTCTCTGTCATTCAATTCCCCTCAGCGTGTATGTGCCCCTCCAATAAGTGTCCTATTCTATCTCTAAGTGTTGGGGGGGGAGGGGATACAGAAAAACTGCCAGGCATATATTATGTTTTATTATGTTATATTATACATATGTATTTTATTACAATTATATATTGTATTACAAATATAAATATACATCATTAATGTATGTCATATGTAGTACACAGTTTATCACATATAGGTTGTAATAGCACCTGCACATTTGAAACTGCCAAGCCAGTTAGAATCCCAGGTTATTGTAGTTAAAAGGGATCTTCAGGCTGACAAGCCTCTCTCCTCTCCTGATCAACATCCCTGACATGGGTACCCCTTCCAGGATGGGAAGGGAGGGCCCCATTGGCTAGGCAGCTCACTCCATGCAGACAAGCATGTTTTGGGGTGAATATAACTCAGGCCATCTCATGCCTATTTGCACGGCTTGCTCCTCTGAAGGATTCTTTTTCCTTTATATAATAGGTGTTCAGATATCGGAGAATACCCAAGTTTCTTTCCTGGCTAAAAAATCTCCAGCTACTTCCGCCATTCCACACATGACAGAATTTGCCATGCTGATTGCTCCCCTTGGCACGAGTGTCTCTTAAACATGACACTCAGAACACAGCCTGGCAGGCCCTGTGTGCCCTAACTACAAGGGAGCACGGATGGACACTGTGCTTCCACTAACAAAGCCTGCACAGTTGATGCATGAAGGCTTTCAGTGAACACGACAAGCTTCTATCTGGAGACCATGGTCACCAAATCTTTCTGGGATTGCGCTGTCAAGGATTTCTCAGGCTATGCTTCTGTGACATGGCACACAATTTAGGTTGCTTTGTAATAGTTTTGCGTCATTACATGTCTCCTGTTAGTATCTGCTTATTTCTGTTTTGTGCCTTGGTCTTTGGTATTTGTTCCAAAATTTTCAATGCCTTCAAAATAATAACGCACCTTTCTTTTGTGCAACCCTATAAAGTTTTCCAAACGTTTCCTTTTATTATGTTACTTCCTTTTGTGACTGTTGACTAATCCAAGGCCGGTCTTAACACTGAGCATTATCTTGGATATTCAGTTAACATGTACGAGAGTGGGCCAGGACCTGTGTACCTTGAACCCTGTGTTCAACTTCCCAGGGACATTCATAGCTCTGCATTTTATCTCCCAGCCATGCCTTTCCGAAACAAATCTAACAAAGTTCTGAGTCACTTAGAGGTCAGCTCTGGGAGAACTGAGGCCGGACATGGCTCCCTGTCCCACAACAGCATCCCCAGGCAGCTCAGATTGTCAAAGATTTTACACAAGGTTAAAAAAACACAATACCGCTGACTTTAAAATATTCCTCTTAATAATTTGCATCATTATCCTGCGTTGTTCTGAGTGAATCCTCCTTGGTTTCCAGTGCTCACCACTTCCTTGAATAGCCCTTGGAATGTTGCCAAAAATCAATGTCAGCTGCTAAACTTTCTAAGCTCCCTTCTTTTTCTTTATATAATATAAAGTTTGGGATGTTCGTCCCCGGTCTTCTTACACTTCTTCTGTTCTCCATGAATTCTCAAAGATTGCTGGCTTTCGTCCTGTAAGTACATCTGAGAGTTGTTTAAATATCCTGGGAAGTAATTTGTATTCTTTTTCTGGGGCTCAAGTCTAGAAGTATTTAAAGTGATTCAGTACAATTTAATTAGGATTAAAAATAATTACAATTTCATTGCAATAGTAATATTTTATTTTATTT